GAAGCTGGCGATGGAAACCATGACCACCAGCTGAAGAGGAAGATGCAGTGCGCAGGGCTTTAAGCTTTACCAGCCGCCCAGCATGTTTTCCCCGGCGTCTGAAGCAATGTCTCCGGGCAAGGAGGTAAGGAACGCAGCGGAGGTAAGCTGGCACGTCCGCCGGGGGGGGGGGGGGAGGTGTCCAGAGGTACGCTCATAATGTTCCAAATAAGCGACATCGACGACAGAAAAACGAAGATCCAGAAGCTGTTGTCGGTCATACATCAGCAGTGAGTCTATATCACAGGTAAAAAACGAACACAACAAAAATAATCCGAACACCATCAGCAGAGGTGGATTGCAAGCCATGTACACGGGCGCCATCTGACTGATGCAACTTATATGTCCATATATGTATATGTCCAGCGTTTATGCCACAGCCTCGTTTGACTACCCAGTTCTGACCTCTTGCCTCCCTCTTGGTTTCCTTGCCTTGCTTATCCCCCTCCTAATTTGGATCTCACTCTCTGACCACGATAACGACTCTGCTCTTCCTCACCTGGACTACACCTCTTGCCTTACCATCTGGATAAGGATTTCTTACCACAAGTGTATGACCTAGGACCTTTCTATTGGACCTCGTTTCTGGACTTGACCAAAAATCTCATGCTGCACAGCTCTCCTGTCCTGTTGCAGCTCAGTCACCACTGCTGACAGCATCCGATCCACCTGTCACACGAAGTCTGTTCTCTGCCTGACTGTGAAGGTTAGTGACTGCCTTTATCTCTTTAGGAACTTTCACAGTCAATGTCCAGCCTCTAACTCTCCTGTCTCTGCAGAGCTGAGTGGCCCATGGACTCAGACCTCCACTAGAAATCCTGCTTTAATAAACACTTTAAACCATTCCTGCATTTTCTGAATCCAAAACCTGGTTCATTTCATTTCAAGCTTATCTAAATCTGACTCCCGATGGCCTTGGAGATGGGCCGGCTATCAAATTTCTCCTGAGTCATGAGTAACCAAAGACAAAAGGTTCATCTATTTAGTGTCCAGCCTTCCACACAGCTCATCATACGCCTTCTGCTTTGCCTTAGCTATCTCTCTCTCTTTGCTCTGTGTCCCATCTCCTTATATTAATTTCTCCTCTGTTCAGTCCTCTCACTGTCATATTTCTTCTTGGCTAACCTCTTTCTTTGAATAGCTTCCTGCACTTCACTATTCCACCATCAGGTTTCCTGATCATCCATTCTCTGTCCAGATGACACATCAAGTACCTTCCTACCTGTCTCTCTAATTACTGTTGCTGTAGTAGCCCAGTCATTTGGAGACTTTTTCTTACCACCCTGAACCTTTAACTGCCTCTCTCTGAATTTCTCACAATATTCTTCTTTTCTCAGCTTCCACTACTTGGCTTTCTTTAATTGTACTCTTTTTTTTCTCTTTTTCACAACAACAGTCGTTCTACACACAACCGTCCGATGCTGTCTGGCCACGCTCTCCCCTGCCACAACCTTACAGTTTCCAGTCTCCCTCAGGTTTCCTCTTCTACACAGAACATAGTCTACCTGCATACACCTTCCACCAGTCTTATAGGGCACTCTATGTTCCTCCCTCTTTTTGGAAATAAGTGCTGACTACAGCCATTTTCATTCTCTTACCAAAACCCACCGTCATCTGTCCTTCCTGTTTTTTTTCCCCTTGACATCAAACCTACCCATCACTTCCTCATCCTCTCTGTTTCTTTCACCAACATGTCCATTCATGTCTGCTCCGATCACCACTCTCTCCTCCCTGGGAATACTCTATCACCACTGACAACATTTAGTATCAGATCCTCTGGACATTCAAAAAACAAAGCAAAGCAAAACAACAAGAAAACGTAGAAACGTTTTGTCTTTCATCCGAAAGACTTCCTCAGTCTGAGGTGCTGTATTCAGCTCAGTCTTATAAATAGCACCTTCTCAGAATGCATCAAACAGTTTTTCTGCTGACAACCAAAACCAGCTGCTCACATGATCAAGAAAGACCATCAGCCTAACAATGGATCATTAGCACCCTGATGGCTGTTTATTATTCAAAGGGGGTTGAGTGATACTAGCAATAACAGCATTGTAAGAGTGGGACAGTTGAACACGGAGTCCTCCACCCCTGTTTAATGATGGACGATTTATTTTCACAAAGATGGCCTCCTTTACTCCTCTCTCAAACCATCGTTCCTCTCTGTCCAGGATGTGAACATCTTCATCCTTGAAAGAGTGACCGCTGGCCTGGAGATGAGTGTAGACCGCAGAGTCGTGGCCTGATGATGTTGCTCTTCTGTGCTGGGCCATCCTTTTGGCCAGTGGCTGTTTAGTTTCTCCGATGTAAGACTGATCACAGCCCTCCTGACACTGAACAGCATACACAACATTACTCTGTTTGTGCCCGGGGACTGGATCTTTGGGATGAACCAGTCTTTGTCGTAATGTATTTTGGGGTTTAAAAGCCACTGGGACGTTATGTTTAGAAAATAAACGTCTCAGTTTCTCTGATACTCCCGCAACATACGGAATGACCACTGTCTCTCTTCTTTAAACATGTTTGAGGGAAATATTCCTGAGAGATTCAATAATTTTGTGTCTTTTTATGATTTTCAGCTGAGTTAAAGTGAAAACAGGATTTCATGATAAAGCCGGCACTGTTTATTTTATTATTTTTTTAATCTTCAACACTAAAAAATATAACAAAGTCCATGCTCAATAATCCACGTATAAAATCCAACATTTTAATCAGTCAGGTCATCTGGACAATTTCTTTTTTTGTGCTGAAACGTTTCGCCTTCAGTCTGGAAGGCTTCATCAGTCAAGGAAACACACAACAAAACTGATTCGTCCCCCAACAGCTTACTCCAAAGTGGAACAAACCAGTTCTGCTTGTGAGTAGATGGTCTCTTTGGTACGCCCCCTCCTCCATTTTTTCCAGACGGGTCTGCGACGAATGGTGGAAGCGATTTTTAAAAACATTTTACGTAAAAAAAAAAAAAAAAACTATTTTTTTAATCGCTTCAGCAATTTTTAAAAACATTTTTGTATAAAAACAAAATGTTAGTTTATTTAAAAATCGCTTCCAACATCCGTCCCAGACTGTCCAGTCCGCCTGACTGCTGGGCGGGATCGGGATACGGCCTTTATGATTACGCGTGGCCGGGTCTGGCAACGGCCTTCTGTGAGTCACCAGCTCCAGCTTTGCAGTGACCAGCGGAGCTCTGAGGACACAAGGCTGGTATCTGGAACCCGAGCCTCCGAGTTGGCACAACGAAGGATCTTCCGCGGTGACCAGCGGAACTCGAAGCCAGGGAGATGACGCCCTGCCCCCGGCCTGGCGCTCCGAGGCTCCGGGGGGAGGACCGGGGTAGACCAGCAGAGTTCCATCCAGCTTGCTTTGAATTATGTTGTCGGCCACCAAGCACAAAAAACACCAGCACGTCAGCATTAGACCAAGATGTTGTCATTATTGTTTTTCAAATCTTTAAAATAAGTCCAACCGCTGCTCCAGTCCGAGAATTTGCAAATGGCTGATCATTGTTTTGAAAAGTTTCTGAAGGATCCAGTGACTCCACCCCCGACTCCGCCCCCGACCAATCTGTGACCAACAGTGTTCCGATGTCAGGTTTTAGTACCTTTTCATTCTGGTTAGAACCACAGTGCCAAGGGTCCTGAAAATAATAAAAGGTGCTAAGTACCGGTACTAATGGAAAAGCCTCAGAACCGGGCCAAGTCAGCCCTGGATGGGTCGCAAGTCCATCACAGGGCCACATAGAGACAAGTGAAACAAACAACCATTCACACTCTCACTCACACCTAGGGACAATTCAGAGTTATCAATCAGCCTAACATTCATGTTTTTGGTCTGTGGGAGGAAACCGGAGCACCTGGAGAAAACCCACGCATGCACAGAAAAATCATGCAAACTCCACCCAGAAAGGCCCCTGGACTGGGATTTGAACCAGGGACCTGCTCGCTGAGAGGCAGCAGCTCTACCAGTTGCGCCACCATACTGCCCAAATGTCAGACCTTTTTTTTTTTTTTTTATTTCTTTTCATTTTATTTTTAAATAGACGTCAGACAATTAATCGATCTTCATTATGCAAATTGTCACTTGACTGACATACAGTTTAGCCATTCTGGGGCCAGTCTTTTCTGACACAAAGGAAACAACGCATGTGCAAGCAACGATGTCCATGATTGACACACAGGGCAGGCAGTCAGAGGCCTGATTTTTTCTGACGCATAGGTCACCACACATGTGCATTCAACCACACTAAAAACAAACAAGTTGACTCGTAATAGCCTCCAGTTTATATCTAAACTTAAGAAAGTGTGTAAAATGAATTGGGGAGTTGGACTAAGTAAGTAAAAAATCTACCATTTCCTTACGAAATTGGGGGAGGACTTTTTTTTTCACAATTTGAAGTGTGTTTCACTGGAATGGCATTTTCAGACTATAAATACTTAAAAGGCTGTGCCCTTACTCATACAACAGTTGTTTTTAGATGTACAATATGAATAAAGCTGATTTGACTACAATACTGTAAGTTATAATAGTGCTACAAACAGTGACATACTGTTTTTGTTGTAAGTATAGGTGAAAATAGTCAATTTTTACTCTTGAATTAAAAATACATTTTACTCTCCTCCCCTCAGATGTGGTTCTCTGAAAAAATGTTTTCATAAACATAAAATGACAGTATGCAGAACATTTTAGTAGCTCAATTATCCATATGCCTCTTTAGTTATTTTTAAATGCTAAAACAATATGGAATATTATATGTAAGGTTTGTTGAACAGACATTAATGAGGATAAAACATATCAGTACCTAATAATTGTTCAAGGAATCACTCAGGTAAACAGAGTAGTACAAGGCAGAATGACCTTGTTCAACCAAATCTGAATCCTTTTTTCTGCCAAAGTTTTCTAACAGTCAGCTCAGGCCTACTTCTGTGACGTTTTCAAAATTATCAAAAATCATTTTATCAAATTACCCTCATGTCTGCACCGCTGGGGCTGTAGTATGCCCTCCTGAAGATCTCCGTCATGTTCTTCAGAACGTCCAAAATGGCCAGAAGGTCACCACTGTAGCTGGTCCCATCGCTGGATGTGACCCTCAGCTTTGTAATCACTTCTGAAACTCCATCTCCCACAAGTCCACGCTGTGCTTTGGACAAGTGTTCTCGAGTCTGATGAAAAAAAAAATGGCTAGTTAGTTTTGGAATTTCCCTTGTTTGTGACTTTGACAGTGGTCAACACAGCAGCTTTTTACAAACAACTCTTCTATTTTAGTTTATTTTATGTACCTTTGCACGATTGTTAACCGCCATCTGGCTTTGACAAAACATCTTGTGTGAAAGTAACAAGGTCTTTGGGAATTTTACACCATACGCCACAATGAACGCTTATATGTGGTTGATGAAAGGTGGCCAGAAGCACTGCTGCTTTGGTGGTTGGAGATGCAAAAACTATTACAGGAAAATAATTCAGGGGGGTCATGGAGAAGGACTTTTAGTTGGCCACGGGAGAGGTTCTGGCAAACCATTCAGCAGAAAAGTAAAGCAGATCCCATCCCAGGCTTGCTTGATTTGGGTGGGGAACTACTGACATGGACTGGGGATATTATTGAGCAATCGTTGAGCAATGGAAGAAGCACTTTGAGGATCTCCTAAACCTGTCCACAATGTCCACCTTTGAGGATGCCGAGTCTGAGGACACAGGGGAAAATAAGTCCATTATCATGGAAAAGGTAATCAAAGTAAAAACAGTCCCTGGTGGCAGAGCGCCAGAGGTGGACGAGATACACTGAGATGCTGAGAGCTCTGGATACTGTGTGGCTGTCATGGTTGAAACACCTCTTCAGTGTTGCATGGACAACTGGGACAACACCTGTACAGGTCCTTCTCATAAAATTAGCATATTGTGATAAAGGTCATTATTTTCCATAATGTAATGATAAAAATGAAACTTTCATATATTTCAGATTCATTGCACACCAAATGAAATATTTCAGGTCTTTAATTGTTTTAATACTGATGATTATGGCATACAGCTCATGAAAACCCAAAATGCCTGTCCCAAAAAATTAGCATGTTTCATCCCACCAATGAAAGACAAGTGTTTTTAATACAAAAAACGCCAACCTTCAAATAATCATGTTCAGTTATGGACTCAATACTTGGTCGGGAATCCTTTTGCATGAATGACTGCTTCAATGCAGCGTGGCATGGAGGCAATCAGCCTGTGGCACTGCTGAGGTGTTATGGAGGCCCAGGATGCTTCGATAGCGGCCTTAAGCTCATCCAGAGTGTTGGGTCTTGCGTCTCTCAACTTTCTCTTCACAATATCCCACAGGTCCTCTATGGGGTTCAGGTCTGGAGAGTTGGCAGGCCAATTGAGCACAGTAATACCATTGTCAGTAAACCATTTACCAGTGGTTTTGGCACTGTGAGCAGGTGCCAGGTCGTGCTGAAAAATGAAATCTTCATCTCCATAAAGCTTTTCAGCAGATGGAAGCATGAAGTGCTCCAAAATCTCCTGATAACTACCTGCATTGACCCTGCCCTTGATAAAACACAGTGGACCAACACCAGCAGCTGACATGACACCCCAGTGACTGTGGAAACTTGACACTGGACCTCAAG